CACACTCCTTTTTTTATTTATTTTTACAACATTTATCTTATTTTAAGAAACATGATTTTTTGGTAGAATTGATTTTAGTTTTTATTTTGTACAGGAATTTGACTTACCGCTCCCTGGACCCGAGCCATTGCATCTTCTTTGGCCTTCTTTGATTCCATTCTACCCTTCTCTCTATCCTCTTGTAGCCGAGCGAAGGCACGGATATTTCTGTTTTCTTCCTCCATTCTCTTCCTCTCCAGGACTTTCCATTCTTCGCGTGCGTTTTTGAATTCTTCTATATATTTCTGTGTGGACTTCTGTTTGGCGAGTGCGAGCTCTCTGTCTCTGCAAAATTGAATGTTCCATGTTTTTTTTAAATTATTTCATTGTTCAACTTTTCGTATAGATAGAGGAAGTTTTCTCTTTTCAGAATTTTACACTTCTCATTGGCAGCTCTGTTGCAAGCATACAAATTTTATAATAAAATATTTTTCTTTAATTTTTTTTTTGATTTTTTTTTTAATGAACACTTTTTCATCCGACAGTACTGTATAACCAAGACATTTTCACCTTTTTCGTTCCCTGTGATGAAAGCAAATTTATCAGCAGAGTGAATATAAGTAGACAGCATGATAAACATAGTACTGTTATGGGAGGGGAGAAATTAAAAATGGACAAAATTTGATTTTATGGATGAAAGGCGAAAGTTATCCTGTATCAGTATATCGGGATATGTATCACAATACATTCCTTATGTGTTGCAATATATTGTGACAACCTAACAAATACATGTAGCTATAATCCTGAATGTGAGTTTCTGCATAGCAAGTTCTGTCAAAGTATGTAATAACAAATTAAAATTTGGTATGAATGTATTAATATTTATCAGTGTAAATTATTAAATATTATGTAATAGAGGTCATAATTTTTTCAATGTCTCCGCTTGTAAGCGTACCCCCTGGATATTGAGGATTAAATCAGTGAGGAGGGAAGGGAAATGTGTGTCATCTTATATTGCCCATTACATGTCCATGCCTACATGTATACATATCATTTGTCTCTGTTCTTAGGTTACTATATATAGCTGTTCAAAAATGACATGTGTCTGAGTTATGTTTAACAGAGGTTATTATTTGATCCATGCCTCCGCTAGGAGTCGAACCGGGGACCTCCGGTTTACTAGTCTTACTCTCTACAAAATAAGCTAAAGAGAAATTCTCCCTGGCCGAGCCGGTAGGAAGTGGCTAGTATTTTACCAGGATGACATACACCCACTCATACCCCCCCCCCCCCCTTCCCCTCCCCCTCCAGGAAAGAACTTGTCCAAGATTTCCAGGGTCATATTGATCCCTTTGCAAGTATCACTAGTATCTTGTCAATATTTCCCAGGTCCCTACATGGGTGCAAATGTAACTGAGGTCATTATTTTTTCAATGCCTCCACCAGGAGTTGAACCCAGGACCTCTGGTTTACTAGTCTTACGCTCTACCGAATGAGCTTAAGAGAAATGTTCCCTAGCCAAGTTGGTGGGAACCGGTTAGAATTTTGCCAGGATAACATGTTTGGGTAGAGTTAACCAACAGCATAAGGATCAAGTTCAGCTGTAAACTGTACAAGCGTTCCTACCTCTGGTCTTCCTCGTAGATCTTGCGGACGATCTCGTCGATCATGAGTTTCTCCTTGAGGAACTCCTCATAAGCCTGTTGTTTTTTGTGTTCCTGTTCCTCCAGCTGGCGTTCCAGTTCCTGTTGGTACCGGATCTGTTCCCGGTACTGTTCCTTCTGGCGTTGTATATCTGCCTCCTCGGCACGATCATGTTCCTCTTTCATGTTCCGTGAGATCTCCGCATCACGTTTCTAGACAATAGAGAAATATGTTTGTAAGTGGGTGGTATTACACGACGCTTTGATTCCAATCTTTAAGAGGTCCATTGAAAAGCATAAATTTACTGATGATAGCTTTTTCCTCGAGAGATGAAGTTATGAATAAATGTTTTTTGGTTTTTTTTTGCAATTAATAAATACTATATATATTGCCATTTATTCAAAGGAATAAAAGAAAAGATCAAATATTTGCAAATTTATATCACTTCCAATGGTTTTTATTTTAAATTGATCAACTTCATTTATTCTACAACAATTATGAAACAAGTTTCATCAATTTATATTAATAGCCTGTTGGCTCAGACGGAAACATACAGGGGGTCTTAATATGGGATAAACACAAGAATACCTGGGGAAAATTCACTTTTGGTTAATTCGTGATCTAATACCTTTTCAAATTTGTTCTGGGAATTGACCCCCAACTGTCTTGGTGAAGGGAGAGAGTGCTTTTCAATGAGCCATCTAACAACCCTTACTTTTAAAATTGCTATAGTTTTGAAATGAAATTTTTGACAAGAGGCACACCAAACACATTCTTTTCTTTTCATAAATTCACCGACAGAAAAACAAGAGCTAACTTATTGATGTAGTAATTAACAGCATACAAACTTACCACTTTATCAAATTTAAGAGCTTCCTTCTCAGCAATTTGTGCCGATCGCTCCTTGTTCATATAAGCTGACTTCAATTTGGCCTCTAATTCTCGTAATTCAAGACTGAAATAACAAAGCAAAATGTGACGTGTGATATAATCCAACAACGTTTTGTATGAAACACATTTTAATATTGATCAATTACAATGAACTGACATCATTTTATTATATTGACATTCTGTATGCTTGGACCCATTGACAAAAATAAAATTCATGTAGCCCCGATGTAAAGTGTTACTCCTGGCAATGTCAGCACAGACTGATAGAAAACAGAGCTGAAGCCCTGGAAAAAAATCAATGTTGTTATCGTCTCGTGAATGTTGAATCAATTTCATTCCTTAGTGTGAAATTATCATCAAACTGCGAGTCTTTCAAACTATTGTTTTTTTTTATTCTAAATAACAAATTACATGTATAATCAAGTGTAAGTCCTACATTTGTATTTAAAAATTGTCGAGTTACAAATCGAAGTTTAGCAATTTCAAGATAACACAGTTGTATAAGTTATAACATGTAAATATTCAGGGTTTTACTCCATCTAAGTTTGGCTGCCAGAGGCTGCCTTGACGTTCATAAGCAGCAGTCTGCCTCCAGTTGCTCGAAGATTGGTTAAATTTAATCAGTGGTTAGTGAAAAATTTTAAATGTTAAAAAGAAACAAAAGCTTCTATAGCAAAATTCATCCTAAAAACACTTCAATGTTATTTGTCCTGAACAATCTACAGCAGTGAAATGGTATCAGATCCACGTTCTTGATGTTTATTGTATTCATATTTTAAATTTTACCCTTACCATTGGCTAACTCTTACGGACCTTTGAGCAAACGGGGCCTGAATGACTACTTTAAAGGGTTGAGTACTCAGTACTCAACCCTTTCACCTCTGTAGACCATAATGGACTTAACCAGATCAATGCATGGTAGAGTCTACTAAAGTTACATAGGGATGAAAGGGTTAATTATTTGTTAAATTTTCATGCTTAACATGCACTAAAATACAGAATTTTGCATGTACATACTATATTCTTTAAATTTTTCCAGGGCCTCGACTTAATCGTGCTTACATTGCTAGTACATGTACTAACACTTTACAACGAGGCTACTTGAAAAAATTTCCTGGTAATTCTATTGTTATCTGTACAATTAACCCTTTCACCACTGTAGACCATAATGGACTCAACCAGATCAATACATGGTAGATTTACTGAAGTTACATAGGGGTGAAAGGGTTAAGTTTGTTTAAGTTTGACGACAAGCTAAATTTTGATTCTGAGGCTGACCTTGTTTCTCTGATCTGTTGTCTCATTTTTTCATCCCTCATAGAATCTAGTTTTCTTCTCTCCATCTCCTTTGCAAGTCGCTCTTCCTGGACGAGCTGTTCCTCTCTGATGATTCGGTCACGTTGGGCCTAGAATTTATACAATTACATGATATAGCTGAAGTGACAATACCTCATGCCTACTAGTACATTTACAGTATAAGACATGTTATGGCCTCTCAATGTTGTGAAAGTAACACTCCTGTACATAGAGGGACATATTTGTTTGGAATAAAACACATTAGTTTATTCCGTCTTTGCGTATTGCAGAGTTATCTTCTCTTGTGAGCAGGTATTGATTGTTACGTCGTTGGTTTGTGTAAGAAAATTACATCGTTTTTTCAAAAATTGATAGCGTTACTCTCACAAACCAATGACGTAACATTCTCCCACACCTGACAGATTTATCTCCCATTTTGCCGGTGCTAGATTTATCTGTCTCCGCCCTAGGGTTGAGACGGGGGGATTCCCATATTCATGACAATGGCATGACGTCACTTCAACAATACAATGACATCACGTCAACAATCCATCAACAAATTGCCTGTATGTGTTTTGGGTCCATGTTTACCTTTATTTCACATTAAAATACTGTTAGATATGGGACCCTCGGACTAAGATTTTTTGTTCTGGACAAAAAATCTTAGTCCTCAGGTTGAGATTTCTCTATCTTACACAACCAGTAGCGATAGATTCTATTAATCAATACCTGCTCACAAGAGAAGATAACTCTGCAATACGCAGACAGAATACCGATATTCAAAGGACTGTTGTATCAATTTAAATTTAGAATTGATCTCAGCTTGATCTAAAATTAAAAAATTAATTGAATATCTAATTATTCGTCCAATCACTAATACTATTGGTGGTACTTGAAATGACAAATTGCAGTAAATGCAGGCAAAAACCTTATGAATGAATATTTAAACCATTTAATGATAATCAATTATTAAAAAAGAATACCTTTAGAATAGATTCCTCCATTTCCATTTCTTTTTGATCTTTCATTAGGTTCCGTAGGTATCTTTTCTCTGTTAATTTGCGTTCATTAGTCATATTAGCTTCTAAGAGTCGCTCCTGACCGAGGCGTTTAATGGTATCTTCTCGTATTTCTCCTTGTCGTCTACTCTGTTCCAGCTGCCTCTCCCTGTCATAGGAGGTCAGATTCCTCCTAGTAGTGGTCTGAAAACAATCAAGTGAAAGATTCATATTTGGTTCACATTTTTTTTTAACTATTAATCTAAATACCGAATTGTACACCTGTTTGACAAAGATATATGTATATATGTGCTGTGATTGGAATGGGTTCTTGTTAAGAATAATATGTCAGCAACCAGTATGTCTCAACAGCAACTGTCGCCAGCAGAATTTAAAAAATATAAGCTGTAGTTATAGATGCACTACGTACCACTGTACAATGCTGTTCCAAAGAAAGGAAAGTGTAATGGTCAAATCTGCCTCTATAGCGGGTCCGTCTATAGCTATCTACAATTCTGAAATTTCGCTTGATCACTAGAATATGCCACAGGCATCTGAGTAGGGAATATTTTTTTGTAATAGGACGAGGAAAAGTGACAAAGTTAGTGCCTTTGCATGGGCTCGAACCTGCGGCCCTTGGCTCTCCAGCCTGATGCTCTACCGTTGAGCTAAAGGGAAATTCCCTACAGCTGACGCTTGTAAGGCAACCTAATTAATGCACTTCTTTTACACTATTTCCCCCTTTTTTCTAACAACAACCCAGGTTCTTTGATTCCCCACCAAGGGTTCTCCTACCTTGAACTGGGAGGTCCAACAGCACCAGTTTGTAATAGGATGAGGAAAAGTGACAAAGATTGTGCCGTCGCTGGGGCTTGAACCCGCGACCCTTGGTTCTCCAGCCCGATGCTCTACCGCTGAGCTAAAGGAAATTCCCTACAGCTGACGCTTGTAAGGCAACCTAATCAATGCACTTCTTTTACACTTTTATGTTTGAACATATTTACATACCAGATGCAGATGCCTGTGAGTGGGCCTAGATAGCCAGAGTTCCCTCAGGCCTTAACACCAGACTTAGACATTTTGACAAATAGTGTCTGCTCAGGTGGGAAGTTTTGAACAATTGAAAATCGAGGACTCTACTGACGGAATTAAGCAGCTGTTGGTGATGATAACAGCTGAATTGGATCAATAAATAATCCATTTATTTATTAAACACAACACATACCTCACTTATAAATGTGAGGTAACGTTATGTGTTGTGTTTAATAATGTGTTGTGTTTAATAATGTGTTGTGTTTAATAAATAATATGTGTTGTAGTAGACTTTTGTTGTCAGCACCTCACAACTCTATGATACCACGTTTTCATATAGCGTTGCTCTCTGGCCCAACACCAGACTATATGTAAAAATGTCTAAGTCTGGTGTTAGGGCTAGAGGAAACTCAGGCTAGGGCCTAGCTTGGTACATGTAGCTAAACTATGTGAGTTTGATAACTGTAATAACCTAATATCTGAAAGGAAAATGCTATAGTCAGCTACCATATGTTGGAAACATATGTCAATGACACTGTCAAATAATTTGCAAGCATATTACATGTGTTTGATTAACATGCTCAATGTTTGTTGCAGTGATAATACTAATTTTATTTTCAAGAAATTTGGTCGACTTATTACAATAGACCATTAGTCTGCTGTGCTCTTTTCTGGTACTTGATACGGACAAAAATGTTGCGAAAATCGGCTACTTACCATTATGGCAGCTTTATAGTGTCCTAACACAACAGGAACTCTATATAAACCGAATCAGTTTGGGTAACAAACTCTTCCTTTGGCGGCCACCTTGGATGCTTGTTGTTGTCAGGACTTGGTGACGTCAGTTGCTAGGGTGAATAGGTTGATAAACAGAACAATTCATTAAGACACTTTTCGTAACCACTGTTTTGCTTGATGCAATCTATAATAAATATAGAAATAATACAATCGTGCAATTATCAAAGCACTATTCGGTTTTTCCTAAGATGCAACGGCGAATCCTATTTTTGAATATTTCTTCCACTCCCCTTTTGTAATAATGACACAGTCCATTCGGTTTCTGTAGGTCCGCAGTTTAGAATTAAAAATGCTTTTATTTCTCTCAAATGGAATATTAGCTATTTTGTATCCTCTTTTTTTTCTTTAACATGAGTCATATGCATCTATAATAAATAATTCACTCAATATGATTAATTTAACTCCCGAGACTATAATGTAAAATGATGGGAAAACCGGGAGGACTATCGAAGAAATAATACTACGTGCATCCATAAGTACCTACAAGCAAGTGTGTATCGAGTGGACCAGCGCCATTATTGACACATCTTGAATTATCGACATCCAAAAGTAATCCGTTATAATCACGACAATTCAGAGCCATCTCTAAATTTCGTTACACTGAGGTATGCCATCACAATTAGGAGTTTCATTGATTTAAATTTAGAGTCGAAAATGGTCAAACTTTAGGGAAGGTTGACATATAAAGTACACCGGGTCACATACATTGATACAAACAAAACATAGAACGAAATGTTTATCCCTTCACACCAAACAACCAAAAGTTATCATGTAAACTTAACTACCCATCCAACCGGGTAAAACTCCATCAGTTACTATCTTTATCCCTAATATCATGTTCTATCTGTTTCTCTTCACAGTTTCTTATGTACATATTTAGGCTATCGCTGCAAAGTTACAAGTTTTATAAGCAAAGCTTGTTATATATATATATATATATATATATATGATGAGAAGGACTGTGTATAAGTACAATAGTACTTGTTTCCCAATCATCTGAATGAAATGTCTATGAATTGTACATGTTTATTAATATCAATTAAATATGGTTTAAACTAAACAACCTTCAATATTTGGAACTCACCCCAGGTCTCGAATGACATTCCCCTCATCCCTTTCTCATGAAATGATGTCTTTCTGAACGAGTAGAAAGGTGCTGAGAGTTTTATGAAGGACTAAAATTACGATTCCACAGTCGACTAATTAGGCACTAGCCTAGACTAAAATGTGTTGTGAGAGCACCACGATACGTCCGTTACGTCATTGAAAATAAAATGATGTATTATTGAATATTTATAAACATACTAAATCCATGTGATGTTCTAAGCACAGACATCAATTGTCCGGGATCATTATGATCCTAGTGTCCTTACTGGTTTAATAGAGGCCTAGGGTTCAGCTTTCTCACGACAAGAGATTTTTAACATATTTTTAAATGTAACATTTTCGGGTATAAACCCTTGAGGACCTGCAAATGTTTATGCTGTTATTTATGCAGGCTTTGTCGAGGCCTGCCATCAGATTCCAGTCCAACAGTTGGATTGCGATAATGAAAGCTGCAAGCCACCTGTTTAAAAGATCTTTTCATCTTTGTTTTGTAATTTTGTGTAACAATGACAGAATAAATCCATGATCCGACTGCTTGCAGTGCTGGTGGTTAGTTTGGGTGTAAAATTCCTCTAGCCAAAAAAAACCTCTCATAATAAAAAAAAATATTTGCACAATAAACAGATAGAAAATGAAGTATTTAAATTAGATCAATTTGATTTAGAAAAATGCAGTAAAAAATATTTCAAAGAAAATGGGGTAAAAGTTGATATCTTTGACCAAAATGAATTGGTAATAATTGCTAATTTAACTTTGCAATATTCATTAAGCATTATATTATAACATATTGTATTTCATGTATACATTTGTATACTCGATCAAAGCTAAGTTAAGCGTTATGTATATGAATGCAAAATGATGTGTCGGCAATGTTACTCGAAGAAGTAAAAAGTTGAAAAATATCGCACTATATCACAATTTGTTGTCTTCTTATCATAAGTGATACATATTTATAGCTTTTAAAATATATGCAGCCTATTTTCATTGTCAGGTCCACCTCAGCCAATTTCAAATATTTTTTAGTTTGTTCTCTGTGTTTTTATTTTTTTTAAATATAATTTTACCGAGATGTGGTACTCTTGATATATATATACTTATCATTTCAGTTGTAAAAGATGTCGCAGATTCCGGCCAAAATAGTGCTTAAAAGCACCACGAAAATGTCGCTGAACGATAGGTGAGAATGACGAGAAAGGAGACGTCAATGTTGTATGGATGCTTGAGATCTTGAAGCTACATCAGGAGCAATTCAAGCATTGCAGCTTCCATGATGATCTCAGGGGAGATAACTGGAGAGGAAAGAATGTATCATGTATTATGCCTAATATGTTGTGGCTATTTAGTCATCAACTGCTATCACAAAAAGAAAATCATGAAATCAAAAGCAGTTGATTGAAAAAATGAAAGTGCTCAATTTACTTTGGGTACCACAAAAATACTAAAGATTTGGCAACATCTTATGAGATTGCCTTCAGAATAGCCACAGATACTGCTCACAGGAACCTGTTGTTTCTAAAAGAAACAAAGGAAATTCCTTTCACTGATGTTGGCATGAAAAGAGCTGAATTTTCCAACATGATGAGCAATGATATATGAATGTTTGAACCAAAAGCTTGCTATCTTAATGCTTAGTGTTCATGTTCATCAGAACGTCTGACCATGCTTTAACAGGGTCAGTCATCTTAAAACGAAGTTCTGTGAATATATATGTCGAATTATTCTTTGAAAAAAATGGAAATGGCTGTAAAATTGAGCAATGTAATCTGAAGGGACTTGCTAATGTTTCTTCTGCTTCACTAACCTTTATCCCATGTTTTCCTGTTCTTTTATTCAGTTTTGCTTTTCTTTGTTTCCTACTTTCTTTGGATACAATTGAATGAAATCCGATAGAATCACGTTTTGCATGATGATATTTAGACACGCTCTACAGTGATGAGCGAGAAAAATATTGTATAGTGTACATGTATACCAATCTAGAAGACTTTTAGCAGGTTTCCTGATAACTTTTTCAATATGAAAATAAATCCAAACACCCTTTTGTTCTCTCCCCAAATGTTATGCAAATCTTCATAAATATGTCGGGATGATCATTCATGGAAATAAGTATTGTGAAATATTTCGGTGGTTTTCACTGGTAGCAGTAGTAGAGATGATTGTGATGAGCATTATTTGTGCTGATTAAAAAAATACTGATCAAAGACATGGAAAAAAAACAACATCCATCATATTTTCTTAGTCCTGAAAAAGTGTGGTTTAAAAAAGATCATGAAGGAAAAGCACTAGACTTAAAATTGAATTGACCTTTTCGTCAAGGAAATGTTTCTTTTAAAAAAGTTTTTTTTACACATTATCCAGACAAAGAAACTCAAATTAGTGAAAATTTGTCGCTAGTTATAAATTAGATACCTGTAGGTCCATCACTAGTGTTATGAATTGCGTGTTGAAGCATTTTGTGCCTCATGATAATGTATGTTAGGTATGTGTCGGAATTCACAACTTTCTCTCAGATAAAACCCGTCTTCATTTATGTATTGATAACATTAGACTTTCTCCTGGCTATGTATTTGGAGTTGAATTTCAGCCCCATTCCCAATAAGATTTGCATTGCTGATTCTCTTCCATACTTGACAACGGAAATTCCTGTTAAAAAATATTTATAACCAAAGTTTGATTTTTTTCTTACGATTTCATTTCTAGGTCTAGCTAATCATAATTTCCTGTTTATTTTCCTTGATGCTTTATAACAACGTTTCAGAAAATCATATATTCTTTCACCCTTTCACCTCTATGTAACTTTAATAAACTCTACCATTCATTGATCTGGATCAGTCCATTATGGTCTACAGTCGAGGGTTGAAGAGGAATATATACAACCAAACATGATTGAATCTTCCAATTTGCCATGATTACCAATTTTTGTTGGCAACTTCCAAAATATCCAGGAAAAACCATGTGAAAATGAATCTAGGCATTTGCGTCGTATGAATATATTTATATTTTCCAAAAATAATTATTTTAGTATTTTTTTCTAGACTTCCACTTCCTTTAACTATCTTCTTTGTAAAAGACAAGTATCTTTGTTCATTTTCTACCTTTAAATGCTGTCCTATAGCTACTTCAATGTTTAACCCTTTCACCCCTAGGTAACTTTAGTAGACTCTACCATACATTAATCTGGATGAGTCCATTATGGTCTACTGTGGTGAAAGGGTTAACTTCTGAATGTCTCTGATTTTCTCCTGTTCTATTTGTGTAACATAGCCGGCTGTTTAGCGTTGCTATCCAGTGGTCAGTGTTATGGACACAACTTTCCCATCTTTCATTTCCTTAATGCTATTTTCTTTGCTCAGTCCTTCTTTATTTCAGATTACACTGTCGGTCTGAACTCTACGTCAAACTGTATCCAGATTATAAGACGGTATCTACCACTATCTTCAGTTCATGCCACATATAGCCAGCTGTTTAGCTTTGCTTCTCCGTGGTAAGTGCTATGGACATGAATTTGCTGAATCTGTCCCTCCCATTCCCTCCACTTTCATTCTTGAATATATATCATCTATGTACAGAATTCCATAAAGATTTTCCTATTTTATCATTACATGGTGTATGCATGACATAACCGGCTGTTTAGTACAGCTATTCAGTGGTAAGCGTTATGGGCATATTCATCACTGCTCTATCACAACTTTTGTAGGGAAATCTTGACCCATTGGGGGTACTCTCCTTGCGTTAAGACATTTTTTCTGGTGTTAATATAATATACTGGTACTTGCATGTATTTTATTTGGTTCCCTATTTCAAGTCAATACTCGGTGTACTCACATTTTCATTCATGATTCTTAAACACTTTTTTTTCATTATTTGTGTTTATTTCACAATTTTACTGGTCATTATATAGCTTGTTTATTGAAAGAAAAGGGTGTGTGTCTTCTTGTCACCCAGATGTTTTTGTCAATGGGGTCCTGCCAGGTTTAAAGTGCCTAAATGTTGACAAACGTATAATCTCGAGTATTTGTACTATATAGCTGTACATTTATGTGTATTTTGTGTGGAGAATTGCCATCCTGCATGTCCTGCTTGTAGAGTACCTCTTAACGGTTTTTATAACAAAAGTCTCTTTTCTTTTTAAAATTCTTCCATTTCCCAAGAAGTTCAAATCTTTCTGCTGTGTGCTTGAATTCTGTCCCTCAAAACAAGGTTCCAACATTGCAAGAATGAGTAGTTAAAATGTTATACCCATTATTTAATAATTCAAAATACAGCCAAAATGCTCTTACCTATAATAGCTGTTCATTGTTGAACATAGACCACTCTTCTGTGGTGCTATGAAAATATCTAGATATTTTAAATCTAGAAGGAAAAAAAAGCTCTATTATCAAACGTAACAACCTGTGTGAACAGTGTTGCAAGCCAAACTTCTGAATGGGAAATTCAGAGGAGATTGGTTAGAGATTCTGTACAAAATCAGAACCAGGCATTGATATCATTGCTTTCCTCTCCCTACCACGTGAAGATTCACCAACATTCAAAATGCAAGACCAGCCCAACAAGCCACCGTCCAGAACATTCGTGCCAAAATGGTTGCCCAGCAACAAGCGTCTGTCGCCAACCGTCGTCTGGCCCTCCAGATGGCCAACAGACCCACAGTACAAGCTGCTCTCCGGGTAAAGAAGGTAAGATAAGAGATGTGACGTGAGGGGACAAATAGATTCTCTCAGCCCCTTGGGGGTGAGATAGGAGAATCTCAACCCGAGGGGAAAGATTCTTAAGTTGCCAAACACGAGGCTTGTGTTGCATGCTAAATTCAGGGTTGACGTGACGTCACGTTGATGGATTGTTGATGTGACGTAATTGTATTGTTGAAGTGACGTCATGCCATCGTTATGAATAAGGGAATCCTCCCTTCTCAACCCTAGGGTGAGACAAGGAAATCTCACACCTGTCCAGGGTAAGAGAAAAATGTATTTCATTTCATATATATCGGGTCTAAATTACCACTTGCATGCATCCACACAGTTTTTCTGTAGAAAATGATATTTCATTCCAGTGATTTTTTGCCTAGTTTTACAGCCCAATAAAGGCTGCTTCTCCTGGATTAAAAATGCTTAAATTCCCAAAATGAAGGGGAAAATCGGGAATATCTTCCAAATTTTAATAAAAAGGATGAGTTGTATTCCCAATTCATGTATACGTAGGAACAGGCTGTTGTAAAATTTAGGTTGAAGATACAACTTTTGTCATTGAACAAGAACCATGTACCGGGTATACATCTTTTGGCAAGGTAAATGTTTTATTAAAATAATCAGTATTGATAACTCTGTAAAGCTTTCAAATCAATCTGCACCATATATACGCATACCAATCAAGTGACCAAACATGAAAATCAATCATTTCAACAAATGTTGGTAATTTGTTTTGTCTTTCAGCAAAACTTGAAGCAGAGGCTTGGTGTTAAAGCGAGACTGAACTTGAACGCTGTGAGAGGTGGAGCTGCCGGTGGAGCTGTCGGTGGAGGCGGGGATGGACGTGGACGTGGTGGCATGAGGGGGATGAGGTAGCCATTGGTCCATTGTGTCTGACCAGTACTGTAGCCATTGGTCCATTGTGTCTGACCAGTACTGTGTTTGTACATAACCTGATTAGATGTTTGCAGTGATTTCATGCAGATTTATATTCAAATGAATCAGAAATTATCATTTTAGATTTGCTATCAAGCTGATTTTATTAAAAAATAAATGTTTAGATAGTGATAACAGCATCGTAATCTCATCATCAGTTTTAATATTGCAAAGATAACAAGGGGTGAACATTTAACATCAGTTTATCCTTTCTGTATTTATGGATGTATGATTAACCGATTGATAGTTTTGAAAGTGGTAATAATTTGTCTCACCATTCTGGGGTAGTCCAAGAACAACAAGGATCTAGTCATGTGTATTTTATTCAGATGCTTGATTTAACCATGGTTTGTTATAGGGGACGCGGAGGATTCCGAGGTGCTCGCGGCCAGAGAGGAGGTGGTGATGCCATGAGGATGGGCAATCAGCGCGGCATGAGACGGGGACGTGGCGGAGGGGATGTCGGAAATAGGGCACGAGGAGGGTTCGGACGAGGTACCTCTACAATATTCGGAATAAGTTTTCAATTCCTGTTTGTGTTCAAAACAAATCTAGCCTTTATGAGATACCTACAAGTTTGAAATTAAGTCTCCACTTGTAAAATGTCTGGAAGGTTTTGAAAATATTTGTGAGGACTTTTATCTGAGATGAAGATTACAGTTGAGAGTAGCTTTTGAAAAAAGAATGATAGCATTCTAGATTAAGCAGCAACATATGAAGTTATTAGGGGAAACGAGACTAAACATCCGTTTTGTAAGTTCTTCTTGATGTCTTCCTTCAAGATTTTTGGCAATAAATATTCAGATGTAGGGTCACAACTGCTTGAATTGATTTGAACTTTGAACTGATGTGTTTTAGAAGTAGATATTTTTTTAACACTATGTTTTCAAATATATACCCTTTTCCGTTTCTTCAGTTATTAAAGAAACTACTTTGACATCTTGAAAAATGAGAATTGCCATGTTAAACTACTAAAATTAAATATAGATAACTGAAAAAAGGAAAAAAGAAAGGTATGCAATATTTTGTGGGGAATATAGCTAAAATTTGTAAAAGATTAAAACAATTATTTTGGTGTAAACATTTATGTAAAAACAAATAATGAAACGTAACTGTTTGAATGGTTTCAAGACGCCGATTTTTTGTGTAAAATAACTATGTGCTAATTTCAATTTTTAAAGGATTAAATTTGCAGAAGAGTTGAGAATAGTCACTAGAAGGATCTGATGTTGTGATTTCAGGTCGTGGAAGGGGAAACTTTCAGAACCAGGCACAGAATCAGGCACAGAACCAGTCACAGGACAACTCCATGGGAGGGTTCCGAGGGGGACGTGGCAGGGGATTCAGGTGAGAAAGATGAAAACAAAGGGGCCCCTTGAGGGACTTGCAGCAGATTGCAGCAGTGATTATTTTTTGGGCTAGACAGCACAAGGATTTTTAACTCCAAGCCTTGCCTGACTTTGGGTGGTGTCTTCCTAAGTAATCGCCTTCCTACAACCTTAGCAGTGAAGATGTAAAACTGAATAAATCAAAACCTATCTTTATATTTCATATATGGTCATCATTGATCCCCATTTATATTCTTAAGTATGGGCGAGTTGTTGTGGGGTTGGGGTTGAAGGTTGTATTTTTTCCCCTGCAGCATGTTAGTGGGGTCAGTACTTTCAATCTGTTCTATACCACCTTAGCTAGACTATAGCTCTGGTATCCATTAGTTATACTAGAAGTCGAACCGTAAACAAACTTTATATCTGAACATGTCTAGAGTACACATTTGAATCAAATGTAGGTCACTTCAATTACTTCAGTTAGATTTTGTGTTAAACTCCATTTCATTAAAGCGAGAGTCAACTCTTGGTTTTTTGAAAAGGTTTCCTAGACGAAGGGAATTGAAACTTCATTCACTGGTAGCATATCTAGTTTAAAGTTCCTCTCTTCTCCATCCTTTCTGTTCTGTGGTATCTCCCGGGTCTTCATAAAACCTGAGCTGTTGTGAGTCGTTAAAACTCAAAGAACAAACAAACAAACTAGTTGTAAGAGTTTCTCTCCGTCAGACGAGCATCCGTACTGTGACTACAGTAGACTGCTGGTCATATCAGGTGATGCCATATTAACCTGTACGACTCTTACTACCCGGTTATATAGCCTGGTGGTAGTCAGGCTACAGACAATCTAATTATACTGTATTAGTGTTGAGGTGCTATGTCTTAAAAACCAGTTAATGTGATGGAATAGTATTGTGAAAAGTTTTGGTTGTAGTTACTACAAACAGATTTCTCAGGCGACAGACACTCCAATTATATACTGTATCAAGATTTGAGGTGCCATACATTTAAATTCCGAAATTTCAGACATTGTTTGACTTTTATAAACAAAGGTTCATTTTCATTTCAAAAAATCTTAGTAGGAGAGTTATTCTTACTTTAATTAAGAAGTCCCAGTTATAGTGTCTTCTTTGTTCTGTTCAGGGGAGACAACTGGAGAAGCAGGTGAGATGACTAATTGAACGGAGGGTATATGTAAGATGACTTGTGTATAAGCTTGTGTGGAGTAGTGGTAATGATTGCCCCCTACAGCTTAGCATGAGGTGTTTGTCTGTGTTTCATTCCGAGAATGGTGACCAGATTACGTAGCATGGTGGTAGTCAGGCGACAGTCAATTCAATTATATATCATCAGCATTTGAGGTGCCATGTCTGAAATGCCAACGAATCTGATGGAATGGTACTGTGACAGGTTTTGGTCATAGTTTTTAACTACAAATAGATTTTACTTCAGTATTACATATCTCTGGGTAGGGTTTTCCTGCGTAACTTGTCTTCATAAAACCTTAGTAGTTGTAAAGATGTGAAAACCTGATTAAATCAAAACTTTTTCTCAATATTTCATGTTTTGTCATTGGTCTCATTGACATAGAGAATTGAAATTTCATACACTCTCATTGACATAGAGAATTGAAATTTCATACACTGGTACCATATCTAGTTTAATTTTTACCTCCCTGTCTTCTCTACCCTTTCTTTTCTGTTGTATGTGTCTCCCAGGTCTTCAACTTGGCTATTAGGACATTAAAACTTAAACTAGTTGTAAGAGTTTCTCTCCATCAGACGAGCATCCGTAATGCGCCTACAGAAGACTGCTGGTCATATCAGGTGATGCCATATTAACCTGTACGACTCTTACTACCCGGTTATATAGCCTGGTGGTAGTCAGGCGACAGACAATCTAATTATACTGTATCAGTGTTTGAGGTGCCATGTCTGAAAAACCAGTTAATGGATGGAATAGTACTGTGAAAGGTTTTGGTTGTAGTTACTACAAACAGATTTCTCAGGCGACAGACACTCCAATTATATACTGTATCAAGATTTGAGGTGCCATACATTTAAATTCCGAAATTTCAGACATTGTTTGACTTTTATAAACAAAGTTTCATTTTCATTTCAAAAAATCTTAGTAGGAGAGTTATTCTTACTTCAATTAAGAAGTCCCAGTTATAGTGTCTTCTTTGTTCTGTTCAGGGGAGACAACTGGAGAAGCAGGTGAGATGACTAATTGAACGGAGGGTATATGTAAGATGACTTGTGTATAAGCTTGTGTGGAGTAGTTGTAATGATTGCCCCCTACAGCTTAGCATGAGGTGTTTGTCTGTGTTTCATTCCGAGAATGGTGACCAGATTACGTAGCATGGTGGTAGTCCGGCGTCAGACAATCTAATTATACATCATCAGTATTTGAGGTGCCATGTTTGAAAAGTCAACGAATCTGATGGAATGGTACTGTGACAGGTTTTGGTTGTGATAACTACAAACAGATTTTACCTAAGCATTACCTCACTTTGGGGGGTGTCTTCCCGAGTAACCGTATAATCATTGGTATCACCTTAGAAGTTGTTAGACATAAAACACTAAAACAATCAAAACCTTTTCTTCATATTTCATGTTTGGTGTTCAATCGCTGTTAATATTCTTGGGGGTTGGCAGGGTTCGAATTTAACCAGATTTTCTACTTGCATTTTTTCGCAAGTGGTATTTTTTCTTACTTGATAAATGAGAAAACAACTTGCAATTTGCATTTTTCCAACTTTATTAGACATTTTAACTTAGAATTAAATTCTAAAACAACACAGTATTAACTGACATTTTAAATTATGGTCATTGGGATGTATACATGACGCAAACCTTGCTGTGAAAGGAAGCTGGCCTGCTCAGGCTATTCTAAGAGATAGCATAAAAACTGCATCTTAGTTTCTTGCTCCATATGGTAGAGTATTTGGTCTTTTCTGTCTTTGTCCCGACAACCACCATCTTGTCACAGCAGGTTTTGGGTCATACTCTCTAAGGGCAGCATCAGCAACTTGTCCATTTGTTATTTTGGCGGTGCAGTGAGCTGTGAAATTTAACCTTGGGAAACCCCAATACAACCACGTGACTAGTCAAGCCTATCGTATTTGCGCTTTAAATAGTAACTAAAAATAGATTACCGAAAAACATCATGCATGTGGTAAACGTCATCATTATTTGTGCAGGTACTTCCTAACGGACATTTGCACGGGACTTGTATCGATTGTAAACTTCCGTTAATGACAAAAGCTGAATCATTCATTCGGCGAATGACAAGAATGCGCTTAAATAACCGCGAGTTGTTAAAGAAAGAATTTGTAAAGACCGACCATTAGAAATGAGGATTACTCAGCCCGAAATTTTCACTCGCAAAAAAATGCTGGTGTCTGAAATCTCTACTCGCAGTTTGCAATTTGCACTCGCTTTTCGCGAGTATGCGAGCTTAAATTCGAACCCTGGTTGGTAGGTTGGTTGGTTTGTATTATGTGCCCCCTGTAACATGTGAGTGTGGGCAGTAGGTGTGCCCTTTCTTTCCATCTGGACTATAACACATTAGTCTATAGCTCCATTAGTTAGTTATCATACTAGAAGTCTAACCGTAGACAAACTCTATTACTGAACATGTCTACACCAATAAATCAAATGTAGGTCACTGTGACTTATAGTTTCCACTTCAATGACTTCGGTTAGATTTTGTGTTAAGCTCCATTTCATCAAAGCGAGAGTCAACGCTCAGTTTTTGAAAAAAAGGTTTCCTAGACGAAGGGAATTGAAACTTCATACACTGGTAGCATATCTAGTTTGAAGTTCCTCTCTTCTCCATCCTTTCTGTTATGAATGCCATGTCTGAAAAGCCAACGAATCTGTTGGAATGGTACTGTGACAGGTTTTGGTCGTAGTTTTTAACTACAAGTAGATTTTACCTCAGTATTACATATCTCTGGGTAGTGTTTTCCTGCGTAACTTGTCTTCATAAAACCTTAGTAGTTGTTGAGATGTGAAAACCTGATTGAATCGAAACCTTTTCTCAATATTTCATGTTTGGTCATTGGTCGCATTGACATAGAGAATTGAAATTTCATACACTGGTACCATATCTAGTTTAATTTTTACCTTCCTGTCTTCTCTACCCTTTCTTTTCTGTAGTATGACTCCTGGGTCTTCAACTTGGCTATTAGGACATTAAAACTTAAACTAGTTGTAAGAGTTTCTCTCCGTCAGACGAGCATCCGTACTGTGACTACAGTAGACTGCTGGTCATATCAGATGATGCCATATTAACCTGTACGACTCTTACTACCCGGTTATATAGCCTGGTGGTAGTCAGGCTACAGACAATCTGATTATGCTGTATCAGTGTTTGAGGTGCCATGTCTGAAAAACCAGTTAATGTGATGGAAGAGTACTGTGAAAAGTTTTGGTTGTAGTTACTACAAACAGATTTCTCAGGCAACAGACACTAATTATACTGCATCAAGAATTGAGGTGCCATACATTTATTTATTTTAAATTTCAGACACTGTTTGGCTTTTATAAACAAAGTTTAATTTTCATTTCAAAAATCTTAGTAGGAGAGTTTTTCTTACTTTATTTAAGAAGTTCCAGTTATAGTGTCTTCTTTGTTCTGTTCAGGGGAGACAACTGGAGAAGCAGGTGAGATGACTAATTAAACGGAGGGTATATGTAAGATGTCTTGTGTATAAGCTTGTGTGGAGTAGTGGTAATGGTTTGTCTGTGTTTCATTCCGAGAATGTTGACCAGATTACGTAGCATGGTGGTAGTCAGGCGACAGTCAATTCAATTATATATCATCAGCATTTGAGGTGCCCTGTCTGAAATGCCAACGAATCTGATGGAATGGTACTGTGACAGGTTTTGGTCATAGTTTTTAACTACAAATAGATTTTACCTCAGTATTACATATCTCTGGGTAGGGTTTTCCTGCGTAACTTGTCTTCATAAAACCTTAGTAGTTGTAAAGATGTGAAAACCTGATTAAATCAAAACTTTTTCTCAATATTTCATGTTTTGTCATTGGTCTCATTGACATAGAGAATTGAAATTTCATACACTCTCATTGACATAGAGAATTGAAATTTCATACACTGGTACCATATCTAGTTTAATTTTTACCTCCCTGTCTTCTCTACCCTTTCTTTTCTGTTGTATGTGTCTCCCAGGTCTTCAACTTGGCTATTAGGACATTAAAACTTAAACTAGTTGTAAGAGTTTCTCTCCATCAGACGAGCATCCGTAATGCGCCTACAGAAGACTGCTGGTCATATCAGGTGATGCCATATTAACCTGTACGACTCTTACTACCCGGTTATATAGCCTGGTGGTAGTCAGGCGACAGACAATCTAATTATACTGTATCAGTGTTTGAGGTGCCATGTCTGAAAAACCAGTTAATGGATGGAATAGTACTGTGAAAGGTTTTGGTTGTAGTTACTACAAACAGATTTCTCAGGCGACAGACACTCCAATTATATACTGTATCAAGATTTGAGGTGCCATACATTTAAATTCCGAAATTTCAGACATTGTTTGACTTTTATAAACAAAGTTTCATTTTCATTTCAAAAAATCTTAGTAGGAGAGTTATTCTTACTTCAATTAAGAAGTCCCAGTTATAGTGTCTTCTTTGTTCTGTTCAGGGGAGACAACTGGAGAAGCAGGTGAGATGACTAATTGAACGGAGGGTATATGTAAGATGACTTGTGTATAAGCTTGTGTGGAGTAGTTGTAATGATTGCCCCCTACAGCTTAGCATGAGGTGTTTGTCTGTGTTTCATTCCGAGAATGGTGACCAGATTACGTAGCATGGTGGTAGTCCGGCGTCAGACAATCTAATTATACATCATCAGTATTTGAGGTGCCATGTTTGAAAAGTCAACGAATCTGATGGAATGGTACTGTGACAGGTTTTGGTTGTGATAACTACAAACAGATTTTACCTAAGCATTACCTCACTTTGGGGGGTGTCTTCCTGAGTAACCGTATAATCATTGGTATCACCTTAGAAGTTGTTAGACATAAAACAATAAAATAATCAAAACCTTTTCTTCATATTTCATGTTTGGTGTTCAATCGCTGTTAATAATCTTGGGGTTGGTAGGTTGGTTGGTTTGTATTATGTGCCCCCTGTAACATGTGAGTGTGGGCAGTAGGTGTGCCCTTTCTTTCCATCTGGACTACAACACATTAGACTATAGCTCCATTAGTTAGTTATCATACTAGAAGTCTAACCGTATACAAACTATTACTGAACATGTCTACACCAATAAATCAAATGTAGGTCACTGTGACTTATAGTTTCCACTTCAATGACTTCGGTTAGATTTTGTGTTAAGCTCCATTTCATCAAAGCGAGAGTCATCGCTCAGTTTTTGAAAAAAAGGTTTCCTAGACGAAGGGAATTGAAACTTCATACACTGGTAGCATATCTAGTTTGAAGTTCCTCTCTTCTCCATCCTTTCTGTTCTGTGGTATCTCCCGGATCTTCATAAAACCTGAGCTGTTGTGAGTCGATAAAACTCAAACAAACAAACAAACTAGTTGTAAGAGTTTCTCTCCCTCAGAGGAGCATCCGTACTGTGACTACAGAAGACTGCTGATCATATCAGGTGATGCCATATTAACCTGTACGACTCTTACTACCCGGTTATATAGCCTGGTGGTAGTCAGGCTACAGACAATCTAATTATGGTGTATGAATGCCATGTCTGAAAAGCCAACGAATCTGTTGGAATCGTACTGTGACAGGTCTGGTCATAGTTTTTAACTACAAGTAGATTTTACCTCAGTATTACATATCTCTGGGTAGTGTTTTCCTGCGTAACTTTTCTTCATAAAACCTAAGCTCATGTGAGTCGTTAAAACAAACAAACAAACAAACTAGTTGTAAGAGTTACTCTCAGTCAGACGAGCATCCGTACTGTGACTACAGTAGACTGCTGGTCATATCAGGTGATGCCATATTAACCTGTACGACTCTTACTACCCGGTTATATAGCCTGGTGGTAGTCAGGCTACAGACAATCTAATTATGGTGTATGAATGCCATGTCTGAAAAGCCAACAAATCTGATGGAATGGTACTGTTACAGGTTTTGGTCGTAGTTTTTAACTACAAGTAGATTTTACCTCAGTATTACATATCTCTGGGTAGTGTTTTCCTGCGTAACTTGTCTTCATAAAACCTTAGTAGTTGTAAAGATGTGAAAACCTGAATAATCAAAACTTTTTCTCAATATTTCATGTTTGGTCTCATTGACATAGAGAATTGAAATTTAATACACAGGTACCATATCTAGTTTAATTTTTACCTTCCTGTCTTCTCTACCCTTTCTTTTTGTTGGTATGTGTCTCCCGGGTCTTCTCCTTAGCTGTTAGGACATTAAAACTTAAACTAGTTGTAAGAGTTTCTCTCCATCAGACGAGCATCCGTACTGTGACTACAGTAGACTGCTGGTCATATCAGGTGATGCCATATTAACCTGTACGACTCTTACTACCCGGTTATATAGCCTGGTGGTAGTCAGGCTACAGACAATCTAATTATACATCGTCGTCAATTGAGGTACCATACATTTAAAAAAAAAAATTCAGACACTGTTTGGCATTTATAAACATAGTTTCATTTTCATTCCTAAAATATTAGTAGGAGATTTATTCTTACTTTAATTGACAAGCCCCAGTTATATATCGTGTTTTCCTTGTTCTGTTCAGGGGAGACAACTGGAGAAGCAGGTGAGATGACTAATTGAACGGAGGGTATATGTAAGATGACTTGTGTATAAGCTTGTGTGGAGTAGTTGATGGCCCCCTACAGCTTAGCATGAGGTTCCCTACCTATCTAGTAGTTGTGTGGAGTAGTTGTAATGATGGTCCCCTACAGCTTAGCATGAGGTTCCCTACCTGTCTAGTAGTTGTGTGGAGTAGTTGTAATGATGCCCCCCTACAGCTTAGCATGAGGTTACCTACCTATCTAGTAGTTGTGTGGAGTAGTTGTAATGATGGTCCCCTACAGCTTAGCATGAGGTTCCCGACCTGTCTAGTAGTTGTGTGGAGTAGTTGTAATGATGCCCCCCTACAGCTTAGCATGAGGTTCCCTACCTATCTAGTAGTTGTGTGGAGTAGTTGTCATGATGGTCCCCTACAGCTTAGCATGAGGTTCCCTACCTAGAATGTTGTCCAGATTACGTAGCCCGGTGGTAGTTAGGCTACAGACAATCTAATTATACTGTATTAGTGTTTGAGGTGCTATGTCTGAAAAACCAGTTAATGTGATGGAATAGTACTGTTTTGGTTGTAGTTACTACAAAAAGATTTCTCAGGCGACAGACACTAATTATAAACTGTATCAAGATTTGAGGTGCCGTATATTTATATTCGAAATTTCAGACATTGTTTGGCTTTTATAAACAAAGTTTCATTTTCATTCCTGAAATCTTAGTAGGAGAGTTATTCTTACTTTATTTAAGAAGTCCCAGTTATAGTGTCTTCTTTATTCTGTTCAGGGGAGACAACTGGAGAAGCAGGTGAGATGACTAATTGAACGGAGGGTATATGTAAGATGACTTGTGTATAAGCTTGTGTGGAGTAGTGGTAATGATTGCCCCCTACAGCTTAGCATGAGGTGTTTGTCTGTGTTTCATCTCTACAATGTTGACCAGATTTACGGAATCCTATATGTTGCATATGAAATAATCATAATCAGTTTTGCGTAAACTTTTGGGTCTTGACCTGGTGAAGATTCCATGATCTTTTGCACGACATTTAATGAAAGTTCAAAGTTTAAAATGGGATGTAGTGGTGAACTGTAGCACCAAGTAGTTTACTGATTCAAGGATTATCAATCAGATGATGAACTTTCATCAGGAGAAAGAAGAGCATATCAAAAAAGTAAATGTGCTGTCCCATCTTTGAGTTGCATAAAAATGAATGCAATTGGATAAATGAATCATATGTATAGGAAGCTTAACGCTTTGCTGTCGTGCTGCTCCTCACATTGTGGTGGTCATTAAGCCTACTTCTGTTGTAATTAACCCTTTAACCCCATGTAACTTTAGTAGACTCTACCATGCATTGATCAGGATGAGTCCATTTTGGTCGTCAGTGGTGAAGGGTTAAACTGTAAACTTGGTTGGTTGGTTGGTTGAAGGGTTTAGCGCCTACATGAATCCGCCCTTACAGGTTACTTCTCACCGGCAGTAGTTGGTGTTCTAGATCAGTCAGCGTCATAAAAAGTATTGTGTTGAAATAGGTCTATTTCAGAGCATGTAGGACATCATTTTCCTTAAATTCTTCGAATCAAAATTTTTAATTAACTGAATTCAAATACAGCAAAATGAAATTATCATGTTGTTGTTCTTGCATCAATCTCTACCAGTGATATTTAGTCTGTCAGAAAATATGATTTCCTGTTATCAATATTTCTTAACTAAGAACATGATTTTTAAACCACTAGTCAGTCGGCATAGTAGTTTTAATTTGATTAGTCCAGCAAAGTCTATTAACCCAGTGTTATTTTACATAGTAATATCAAATTTTGACTAGTCAATCTGGCTATCAGTTTTTAGATAAGAACCACTATATATAGTCCAGCTGGATATTTTACTAGTCTCAGACTACTGGGCCACATTTATTGTCTAGTCATGTATTTGTACTAACATTCCCCAAAACTTGCCATGTGTGATATGAGTTTCAATAACATGTTTTTCCTGATTAACCTGAAAGGTTAATTCAGAAGAATTGCTGAATTTGATAATATCACCATGCAAATTACAACAGTGTGTAGATATATAAACATGCTATTCTTATTACCGTAAATCTATATTGATACATTAAAAACTAAATTTCTTATCCTTGTCTGGTCACATAAGAATCACATTCTGTCTGACGTACATGATATTGGTGTTTGATGTTTAACATTTGTGAGTCAAAGGCCTGACGTTTCATTTTTATATGCCCGTCGAAGACTGGGCGTATTATGTTATCACGTGAGCGGGCGGCGGGCATGAGGGCATGCGAACGATGTCCGCTCGATATCTCGAGTAATTATTAACGGATTAACAACAAGGTTAATTACCATGAAAGCTTGGACAAGTTCGATAACCGCCATTATCCGACCATAATTTGTGGAGTTATGCCCCTTTATGGACTTGCCGAAACAGTGTCCGCTCGATATCTCGAGTAATTATTAACGGATTAACTTCAAACTTCACAACAAGGTTAATTACCATGAAAGCTCGGACAAGTTCGATAACCGCCATTATCCGACCATAATTTGTGGAGTTATGCCCCTTGGTTTCATTAATGCGATGCATGCGTTCCATGATGTTGTATTGCACTCATTGATCTACCAGTTATGTTGAATGATTTCTCTTTTAATATCAATTACTCACAAATACTTCATATATTTCAATCATACAAACAACTGCTCATTCAGTGTGTGACGGGCGTATTATATACCGCTTGCGGTAACCTTGTTTTCTGTATGGTCCCTCAAAGTTCGAAACATTGAAGTTTAACTCTATCATGATATCATGCACTAAATATGCAAGCAAATAAATTTTGGTAAAGATCTGGTCTCTTAAAAAATTGGTACACTGTAGGTCTATAAGAAATCTATATTACATACACCTATAACCTACGGTGGTAAACATTCCATATCTAATAATTTACAGAATTCTTACGTCATTTTGAAATGATTGATTTACATTGATTTCCTTTCGCTACAGGGGTAGAGGTCAAGGAGGCAACCGTGGCACAGGACAAAGTCCCATGGGAAGGGGGCGTGGCCGATTCCAGAGGGGGCGTGGTCGTGGAGGTCAGCGAGGCAGAGGTCGTGGGGGCATACAGACACAGGTCAGCAAAGAGGATTTGGATAACCAGCTGGACGTCTACATGTCTAAGACCAAGAACTACCTTGACCACGAACTGGATGCCTACATGCAGCAGAGCGACATCTGAGATATTGGGAAGCACAGGAAATGTTAGAGAAAACATCCGGAGGAAAAACATTACACGGAGACCTCAGGAAACATCGGAAATGTTACAGAAAACATCCAGAGATGAAATATTACACCGAGACCTTAAGAAACATTGAAAATGTTAGAGAAAACATCCAGAGACGTCCAGAAACGTTGGAAATGTTGAGGATGTAAAAAGAGGGAAATATTTCCCTTGAATGATTAACATATAGTCGATAAAGCAGGAAACATCCCATACAGTGTAATGCTGTATATGACATTGTGTTGCTTGATAAACACGTAGAGGAAATAAATGAACCAAAGATTAGTGTATTGAAGCTGTCGGCGATGTAAGTTAAAGGGGAATGTCTCCAGACATTCAAGTGAGCTTAACACTGAAATTGAAACACATCTTAAAAAGATCTATGTGTCTCTGTAATTGTAACAGGGCAATAGATGGTTGTGTTTGACCAACACGGTTAACAGATCCAGAATCTATTACATCGTAAAACTTGCAGACTGTAGAGAATAGCTTTAATAGTCTTACACGCATAATGTTTGATATAGAGGAGAAAGGGTGACATGACATATATTAATTTGAATATGTTCAGGATCTTTATTGGGTTTCCATTACATACAAGATTCAACGAGCGATCTATGTGTTTACATCTGTTAGACATCATTACTTTGGGTCATGCTTCATGAATTTCTACTGTACACTGCCAGTGCCCTATTCCGTCTTTGCATATTGCAAAGACGGAATAGCAAGTCACACTATGTCTTCAGGCAATGCCTTTATAAATGTGTATGTTTACCGGTTACTATTTAGATTTAGAACTAAATCTCTTTTGGAAATTGGGTGTGTAGCTTGGGAAATGGTGTTGTATTTGACAGAGATTTCATCTAGTAATTGTTTTATTTTGTGTATACAGCGAGTACTATTCTGAGTCACCAGGGTTTGGGATGTGATCATTTGTTTTAGTAGTTTCCATGCCACATGGGAAATTTTTTTTTGTTGATTTGAGACAATTATTCTATATATTAGTTACCTCGGGTTGTTTATCATATCAAATCACAACATCTTACTTAATTGGTGATAAATACAGTTTCTTGAAATCTTTTAAATGCTGATTTCATTCTTGTGGGGGGGAAAATCTGCCTTTCAGAAAATAATTGGATCTGAAAGAGTGAAATTTTGAGAGAATGTTGATAGTAAATGAACTTTCTGAACTCATATTTGAAACGTTATGATATATATTTTATAATTTTAAATTAACTCAGTGCAATATCTAAGTAAATATCAGGCTGTCTGTTAATTCATCAAAGCTCTTCTTTGTAAGTAACATTACTTTCTATGTAGTAAAAAAGAATTTTTCTTCATCTACAAAGTAGGGTGAATATTGATAAATGTGTCTGCAGTACAGATGAAGACCAATCTTGAGCTATTTAAAATGAAATCATTTGATCAAAAATTTTAAAATAAATGAACAAAACATAACCCCTTTATTAATATATGTCCCAGAGTAATTATATTGTTCTGGTATATTTCACCAGTCGGCCTTTACATTAATCAACCATTGACTATCATTGTACTGGGTACGAAAAGATGAATTTGTTTTGTTTTCCTGTTAAAACTCTTGTTCATCCCTTTCACCACTGTAGACCATAATGGACTAATCCAGATCAATGTAGGGTAGAGTCTACTAAAGTTACCTAGGGGTGAAAGGGTTAACTGTTGATACATGTGTTGTGTAACACAGTGGTGTTACGTAGATGGCCAGGTAGATACATTTGTACGTATATATACACCTTGTTAGTGATTTTGTTGGTCACATTTGGCTTGTTTCCGTTAATGTGATCTGATTAGTCTAACAGCCAGCAATTAAATCTTCGATAAATCCAAGCAATACTTGACGGGGGTAAATCCAGGTTCAAGAAATACTTGATGGGGGTGAATCCAAAACTTTCCCGATTAGACCTTTTTCGAAAAACTTGTCAGAAAACATTTGATCTACTTCCTGTGAACAACACTGAACCATTTACTCCCGAATGTTATGACTTCCGTTCAGCTGTAAATTTGTTGAATCACTTGTTCTTTGAAAAAATCTGTAATAGCCATTCAGGCCACAATCTGTAATAGCCATTCAGACCACAATCTGGAATAGCCATTCAGACCACAATCTGTAATAGCCATTCAGACCACAATCTGTAATAGCCATTCAGACCACAATCTGTAATAGCCATTCAGACCACTTGGATGAAACCATGCTTTTCCTTAGTGTGCTGCTTGTGGCATAGACTTGTATTGACTTTGTCATGTTTTTTTTATCTGTGAAAAGTATTACATAATTGTTGTTTTGTTCCTTTGTGTTATGTACCTCTTTGGTAGGTAATACTTGTCCACTCATTTATAGAAGGGTGAGAAATATTTGCCTTCACAAGTTTTTGATTTCGTCTGTTCGAGGCCCTCAGGTACAGGAGGGTGAGAAATCTGTTTTATTTAGACCTCATCACATGCTGTATTACCTGGGAATTTTTGCCACATTTTACCTTTTACCCTTTTGCCCTCCATAATAAATGTAAATTTATCAAAATTAGTACACAACATACCACACGGTGTAGTAGCTATAACAAGGCAGAGGTGAAATTTACACTGATGGATTTTACCCGTAAATGTTGATTATTTGGCTGGACGAAAGTCTTCGGTTTATAATATTCATTATTTTAAATTCAAAGGGTGTACATTCATCATTTTATCCATTCTTCAGGATTAATTCTAAAATGACAATAGAACTATTTTATGTATGTTGTGTTTTTTGCCTTTAAGTTATTAAAGTATAAGTGTACATCATTGGACGCTGATGAGTTGGTCTTTGATGTAATTTATTATCACTGTCGCCGAGTGAAAATTAAATAATTTATACTGGTAGTTTGTAGTTTTGGGAGTTGTTTACTTTCCCTTTGTATCGTTTATACTTGGTAGCTGAGTGCGGAGAGAGGGGAGAGAGGGAGTAAGAATAGTGTTATAAACATTGTTCTGTGAGCAGGAGAACACAGCTGAACATGTCTTTGTAAAAATGCGAGAGAAAAGGCGTTTCATTTTTTGTAGTCGATACAAAGTACGAGTGTATTATCATTATCATTATCATTATTATACATGTTAAAAGGTTTCATCATGTAAAGATTTATATGTAGAATCTGTAGAATCTAATAAATAAATTGTCACGGTTTGTTATCATTAAAATTTGCTTCTTTTTTGTACTGGCGGTGATGTTGTGACCTTGACCTTTGACCCCAAAGTCTTCTCAGTTCCTGCTCATTGAGAAAAGTAGTTGTTTAATATCTATATTCCAGATAATGAGAAATCAAATACGAAACATTTTTGTGAATGCAAGGGGATTTGTATCATTTGTGATGCCTGAAAATATGAGTTTAACAGGACTTTCCCTTGAGCCCATGTCTTTGACTTCCAAAACATTATTTTACATTAAACAGATCTTGCTATTCAATATGCAATTTGATTCTCCATTTTTGCTTCCTACGGTGAAATGAAGGCACTGTTAAAGATTATTTCAAGAATTCTAAAAATAATTGGTCTCGAGAAAGTACTGTAGGGTGCAAGAACTACAGCGGAGAATGAGGAAGGTACAATAGGATTAATCATCCCGTTTGAAAGGGTTCAGGTGACTCGGAAATATTCTGCAATAGATGAATGCATTTGGACTGGAGCGTAGGTAAAGCCAGAAATGCAGTTTCAGAGTTTTATGACAAATTAAATTACAAAATATCAAATATGATATTTCTTAATTCACTCCTCAACTAAATTATATAACATGTCCTAAAATATACGTCGGATTCAATGTTTATGCATAAATAATGCAAACTAGCGATAGTCAGCAGTTTAGTTTTTGTCAGGCCTGTGGGGATCTCGATAAGCAGGTGCCGAATACTGCCGATGTCCACTACGGTTCAACCGTTAAGAGGATATGTGAAATGGCCCTGGGTCTGTATGCATCAAACTGTTCTCATGCTCAAGCATGGATCCTGTGCTCAAACCAACTTTCTTGTTGCTCACTTACCGGTAGATCATGTGACGGTCAAAACAAAAAGTCGAGTGGTAATGATGAAATTTGTATTTGGTTTGAAGTCTATCCAGAATTCTTCAAAATCATTAACAAAATGTGAGTATTTATTAATGTATTACTCGGAACAAGAAATTTGGCTTGAACACAGAACATGAGTTTGGGCGAGAACGGTTTCATGGATACAGCCCCCGGGACCTGTTTGTTTATACGGAACAACCAGTACGTCTGTTTTCAACTGTTACAATTTTGAGTATAAATCCTGGAGGACCTGCAAATTTTTATGCAGGCCTTGTAAGGATTTGTCAAGGCTCGCCTGAAAGTAGCATTTAGATTACCTGGTCCGACCTTATTTCATAAACGAACAACTGTGGTCCAACCAGTCCAACCGTTTTGACCGCGATAAACTAGAACACAGCCCTGGTCTCTCCGACTGTTGCGAGAAGATATGTTGGACAGAAAAAAAGACCCAACACATAATTTTATCGTTAATCCATAACATTTATTGAAATTTTTAAAGGCAATAACAAGTGATCTAGTCGACTTCCTTGTGATACGTAACAGAAACAGCTATAACAACCTTGGCACAGATAAACTTCTACAGCACAGGGACATGCCGCATGTTGAAGATATACAGTACTTTATGTATACTGTGAAGCCTATTTCTATATATCTTCAGTTTTATAGCATGTGACAGGTCCCTATGTTCTTTAGCAGATATTAGCAAACCTTTCCCCTTATTCTCTTGTGGAGGAACACTGTAAACCGTGCGAAACTAATTAACTAGATTTAGCGTTAAATCTATTTTAACTCGTGCTTCAGATATTGCGCTAAACCATAACTGCTAATTACAGATATAAGCAAACCGTGTAAAACTGTGTACTAGTTTTAGCGGTAATTCTATTTTAGCACAATTCACGCTTGAGATATTGGGCTAAATCATAACTACTATTTGCAGATATTAGCAAACTTTCCCCCTTATTCTCTTCTAAGAGGGTCTGTAAAATTGTGTCCCTCCCCA